AGATAACATCCTTATCAAAGGAGAAATAATTGAAGTTGTTGTCAAGGACTTCATTCTTTCTTGGATCAACCATCAACACTCATGGAAGCAGCAGTCAAAAATCAAACGAAGCACTGCATTAGGCAAATCTTCTGCACAAGACCTCTTTGAAGCATTGAAGAGCGAAGATGTCAACTTGAGGACTAAGGTGCGCCTGACCCAAGCCATGAGATTTTCAATAACCTCATATGCATGTGAAAGCTTGACAGTGAAGAAGGAAGACCGTAGAAGAATTGATGCTTTTGAGTTATGGTGTTGGAGGAGAATACTGAAAGTACCATGGGCTGCCAGAAGAACAAACAGGTATGTGTTGGAAGTGCAGCTAGAGTGCTCCTTGGAGGCCAGGATGACCAAACGTCATCTCTCATGCTTGGGAAATATTGTCAGGAGGGGCCAGTCACTGGAGAAGGATATCATGTTTGGCAAAGTAGAGGGTCAGAGAAAAAGAGGAAGACCCCCAGCGAGATGGATTGGCAAAGTGGCAGTATCAATGGGTTCAAGCGTGGCAACAATTGTGAGGTTGGCTCAGGACTGGGCAGTGTTTCATTGTGTTGTGCATAGGGTCGCTATGAGTCAGTACCGACTCAATGGCACCTAACAACAACAACATAAGGGAGCAATGGGCTCTCCAATCCTCTGGCTAAAGCACTGGGCAGTAACCCATGTGTCAAAGGGCAAAGTCCATAAGAGCATCATCTCTTCCTCATCTCTCTGCCATCCACATGGCTTTTTATCCCAGAAAACCCTACCAGCTCTGCTCTTTGGTAAACAATCCTCCAACAACCCAAACTAAATAATGTCAACCCCAGCAAATGCCACAAACTGAGACCCTAACAATAAGCACTTTTTAAAATGGTCCATCCTCCATGGAGCACCCACCATGTCCTTCTCCCCACTGACTGAAAAAGCTGAAGCTTTCACCAGATGTTGGAACATTCCCTATTTCATAGCAAATGATTCATGCATAAGGCAAGGCTTGGGAATAATAATAGCCCTGTGGAGTAGATCTGCACTAGATTTTATTTGTTGTTTTCTTCTCCAAAGGCTTTACTGAGGCATAATTTGCATACCATAAAATTCACCCATTTAAAATGTACACTTCAATGATTTTTTTACTAAATTTACAGAGTTGCATAATCACGATCACAATCCAATTCCAGAACATCTCTATCACCCCCAAAAGGATCCTTCGTGCCAATTTCGTAGTCTCTTTCTGTTCCTATCTCCAAGCTTCACTGATCTACATCTGACTGTATAGATTGGCCTTTTCTAGACATTTCATACACGTGAAGTTATACAATGCTCAGTACTCTTTATCTGAGGCAATAAGAAGAATGGGAAAGAACATGGAATCTGGATGGAGCTTAACTGCCAAATTCAAATCCTTGCTCTGCCATTTATTAGCTGTCTAAGACTTGGGGTTAAGTTTCTTACCTTATTTGTGCCTTCGTTTCCTCATTTGTAAAATGGGATATGAACTGTACTCACCTCATAGGGTTGTGAGATTTAAATAAATTAACATGTCTTGCATATAGTCAGTGAATGCTACAGAAATGTTGCTCGTTAGCTCATGTGACTCTCAAAATTCCTACAGAAAGGAGGCGAAGTGAATATGAGTTCAATTTTACTTATGGTGATGGGGGCCAAAGCACATGTGCTGGACCCAAGGTCAGGTTGAACTGCAAGGTTGGCAGTTCAAACCCACCAGCCGCTCCTCAGAAACCCTACACGGGGTCACTGTGGATCAGAACCAACTCGAGGGCACTTAGCAACAACAACAAGAGCCATATGAGAATGCATTATGTGCTTCTTTGTCCAAAACACTTCCAAAATGATCCCAAGCTGGCGTCTTGCGTCTGTCCAACCTCACATCTTGTTTCAAGTTATTGCCTTTTTATTCTTTCTGTAAACAATAAGCTTCTACTTACCGGAGCTGGGACTGTAGCTTTCCTGCTTTGTTTATGAAATCTTCCCAAACTGGATAGCTCCCCTGCAATAAAACAAAGTCACCCGTTAAACCACATTGTGATAGACATGGAATTCCGACATTCACGAAGCATCCAATTTCAGTGACACCAGAGTACTAATCTGTGGACATCTTCCTTTGAAGTGCCTATGATCTGCTGCCCAGATTAAATAAAAATGTATTGGCTCAGGGAATGTGTTTAGAACATGCTCCATCCATGTAACCTTGCAAATATGACAGACTGTGACGGGACTAGTTCAGCCGAATCTAACACAGAACGCGTTACTGTATCACCTTTTCACTCAACAGATGGTTGGTCCAAATGTATGGGGTGGAAAGCATATAAGCTGTACCCTGATGTGGCTGCTAACACCACATGGCCCTGGATGTTCTCAGCCCTTGTCCCAAACATCAGGGAGGACGGACTCAAGGTGACTGACTTTCCTCCCCAGGACACGTGACTATCAGGAAGCATCATTAGAACATCAGCATTTCAAGGTTGAAAAGTTGTCTAAATATAGCCACCCAGCTGATGCCTAGAGCCAACATCTACACATAACACATAAAGGTTCTCCAGACAGCCTGTGCTCTTCAGCTCACAGGGATTCATCACTTTCCCATGACAGTCTATTATCAGCCACCCTGTCTTCTGAGGGGTCTCAGGCCACCACTGATGCTGCTTCCATGTGGAAATCTTCTCAAAGAACTAAGAAGAATCACGGTATTGGTGATTCAGTGCTACAGTTCTTGCCTTCCACACAGGAGACTTGGGTTTGATGCTCAGTCAACTTGTATATTGCTCTGATGTTGAACAGGCTCCAGCTGAGCTTCCAGATTAAGATGAACTAGGAAGAAAGGTCTGGCAATCGACTTCTGAAAATAAGCCAGTGCAAATCCCCTTGATCACAATGGTCAGATCTACAACCTATCACAGGGATGGCACTTCATTCTGCTGTGCACAGGGTCGTCACGAGCCGGGGGCTCAACTGACAGCAACTAGTATCAGCAATAAAGATAAACTAACACACGTATCCAGTTTTCCTTCCTTCATCTAGCTACTTCCAACTACTTACCTATACCGTGTTCTTTTCAAATCCCTATGGAGTCCTAGAGATATTGCATAGGTATCTCTACTCTGCTAAGTACAATGCTTAGACACAAACTCCAAACTGCAGATGCAAGCCTGACCAGGCCAAACCACAGTGGGGTCTGACACCTCCTTCCCTTTCATGTTACACTTACATGAGGATCCAGGTAACCAACCAATCAAGAGCTGACTTAAAATAAGACCAGAGAAGGGGAAATTATGGCCAGAGAAGTGGTGTTTGGCAATGGTTACGTGCCTGGCTACTAACCAAAAGGTTGGCGGTTCAAACCCACCGGTGGCTCCCCAAGAGAAATGTGGCAGTCAGCTTCCGTAAAGCTAACAGCCTTGGGAACTTCTTGGCACAGTTCTCTGCTGTCCTACTGAGTCACTACAAGGCAGGATTGACTAGAAGGAGCCAGGTAATGGGACTGGATCAGAACCACTTCAATATGAAACTAGGACTGAACACTTGGGAGATTCCATGGCAGAAGAGGATGCAAACATTACAAACCTTGACAAAGTAAAGATAATACATGGAGGGAGAAATTAAAAGGTTAATCACCTCATCGTTCATTCTATAAGCCTAATCAAAACTTCCTAAGAAGCAACAGAGAGTGACAGATGTTAAGTGCTCTTTTTCCCAGCCTTCAACCACACGTTCCCAACCTTAGCACTACTGGTGTTCTGGGTCAGATAATTCTTTGTTAGCGAAGACTCTCCTGTGCCCTGGATGATGTTGAGCAGCCCCCCTCGTCTTTATTCACTACATACCACAAACAAGACCCCCAACGAGATGGATCAGCCAGGTGGCATCATTGATGGCGTCAAATGTGGCAGCGGTAAGGAGGTTGGCCCAAGATCGGACATTGTTTCGTTCTGCTGTGCATGGGGTCGCTATGAGTCACTTCCAACTCGATGGCACCTGACAACAACAACCACCACCACAAACATCTTCCTCCCCAATTGTGACAACCAAACTCATCTCCAGAGTTGATTTAGATTCGCAGCGACGCTGTCTGACAAAGCAGAACTGACAAAGAAAACCCCAGCAGAGGGTTTTCTGGGTAGTAATCTTTATCAGAGCAATCACCAGGTCTTTCTCCTGCAGGAGCTCTGGGAAGGTTCAAATTGCCAACTTTCAGGGGCTGGGGGCGGAAATACTGCTCCGGGTGAAGAATCCACTCACTGCCTTACAAGTATCGGAGAAACGAATATCTTTTGGTGAAGAAAATGTTAACTGAAGTTCAGTAATACTTCAATTTCATTTTGTTCTGCTAAAGTAAAATTAACTATGTTTTTCATTTGAAACTAATATGCATCATAGGAACACACTGCTATAAAATTGCTTCTTGACGTATTTCTCCAGCTATCAGTTTGATCTGAAACTGTGCACAGAGATATCTGGAAAATTATGTCTACCAAATACTAAAATGGGTTCTTTTCTGGAAGCTAAAATTTGGACTGCTTTCTCGTTTGTAATTTCCTCTGTGGCTAGAATGTTTCTTTTGGGCTTTTTTTTTTTTTTTTTTTCTTTTTTCTTTTCTTTTTTTAAAATAAGGATCATGTATCATTTTTATGAAAACAATGAAGTCATTACATTAAAAAAAAAATTTAAGATCAAATTAGAGATACTGGCAACAACGCCATGAGTTTACAATCCACCCAGCTTCGCCATCTGTTTGACACATGCTGCTCAATCGCATCCATCAGTGCTTCATTTGTGCCACCATGGCCTGCCTGGCCCAAGAGCAGGTCTCTGGCCTTATGCCTGTAAGTGGCCATTTGCTTCCAGAAGACACTAAACCACACAGGGCAGAAATCCTACCTGACTGGCCCCTAGGGAGGCCCTGAGGCAGTCACACCTGACCTACTGGTCAACCACTACCCTTGCACAAGCTTTACCACCACACTGCTAGGCCACGTGGTAACCATCCTGTGTTTTTCCTGGGGGTTTCCTCCAGCCCAAGAGCAGGATTCATATAATTGAGATCCTGCGTGATCTCATAGTTCCTGGGTGGCACAAACAGTTAAGCACTTGATTAGTAAACAAAAAATTGGAAGTTCAAGCCCATTCAGCAAGGCCATGAAAAAAGGATTAGTGACCTACTTTAAAAATAAAATCAGCCATTAAAAACCCTATAGAGCACAGTTCTATTCTGACACATTCGGGGTCACTAGAGTTAGAAGGCACTCAACAGTTTAGTTTGGGTTTTCCAGTACCTCAGGTTACCATGATAGCCCCATCAAGATTCCAGTGATAACACCCAAGATGTCTCCCATTTCCCTTTTTCTTGTCAAGTTCTGATATGAACGGCCCGTCTACATCCACATCCAAGTAATCACAGTGCTAAGGGCTGAGCTGAACATTCTGGATAACTCATTAGAGAGCTCTGTCCACACGGACAGTAGTTAGCACCTGTAAGAGCTTAAGACTTCAACCCAAACCTGAGAACCTCGTCTAGCCATTATCTGTCTTTCTGATTCATAAGATATTGTAAAAAGCTTCTTTAAAGGCTTGAGGATGTTCGGAGACACTGTCCACCCAATCCTAGCCCAAGATCACCCCGATCTCTCACTTACACAGCAGGTAAGATCAGGGCTGAGCCCAACTCTCCCAGGTTCCAACCTCCCTTTCCAGGAAGCCCAGGACAAGCCTATTGAGACAAGTAATAAGGTCAGAAGTAATAAGGCAAGAGGTCTGGGCTGACTTCCAGTCACAGCCAGGTAGTATTTACTAGGTGAAAACACTTTACCTCTGAGGATTTGTTTCCTAATACTAATAAAATGTAATAATGATACGTGCAGTCTCTGGGTGGCACAAATAGTTAAGCACTCAATTCTTAGCCAAAAGGTTGGCAGTTCAAACCCACCTAGATGTGCCTCAGGAGACAGGCCTGATAATGTGCCTATGGAAGCTCACAGCCTTGAAAACCGTATGGAGCCGTTAGTTGTACTGGGCACACATGGGCTCGCCATGAGACAGAACTGACAGGATGGCAGCTAACGACAATAATGAAATCTATTTTAGATGATGATGATAAAATAGTAAATATAATAAGTGTTTGTTGTTATTGGTAAGTACCATCAAGTCGATTCTGACTCATTGTGACCCTGTATAGGGTTTCCAAGGCTTTAAATCTTCACAGGAGCAGAAAGCCTCATCTTTTTCATGCAGAGTAGTTGGCAGGCTTGAACCACACATCTGGTGGTTCACAGCCCAGTGTTTATCATATGGAGCTACTGTGCGCCCATATCAATTATAAAATGATAAAAATGTCACCACCATTATTGTTACTAAATGTTGTTGAATCAGCTCCAACCTGTCTAGGGTTTCTGAGGAGCAGCTGGAGAGCTTGAATGACAACATTGTGGTTCAAACAGACCTAGCAGTCTAGTGCTTATCCTATAGCACCACACGAGCACTCCATCACCATTATTAACACTGCCCATTACTGAGTATTGGTGGGGGGGGAGATAAATAGGAGCACACATTGGGGAGTCTGATTTCTTGGCTTGCATGTTAGTTTGACTGTTTGCTCTATGACACTGGACAAGTCACTTAAACTCTGCATGAGGACAAGTCATCACGTGGAGGGTTAGTACAAGGGATAAATTAGGGCATACATACGGAGTGCTCAGTGCATTGCTTCACACACAGTAAGAAGTGCTCAGTTCACACAGGTGCTGCAGGATAATGCACTAGAGTGCAAAGTCGGAGGTTCAAACCCACCAACCACTCCTTGGAAGCTCCAAACAGGGTCGCTGTGAGTCAGAACTGACTTGACGGCACTCAACATCACTAACAATGGACCCAAACAGTTGCAGAATCTGGGAAATCTCACTCAGAACACTGGGAGAGATCGTCTCCAAGTTAGACTGCACACCCCAGCTGGAACCCCTAGTCTCAGTGTGGTCCGTGGCAGAATTCTCAATTTCC